CAAGTTGAACAGAACCACAGATCATGACACCATGGGAGGACAATGCTCAAATCAAGCTGGATGTGCAGCTTAGATAGAGCACTTTACTAACTGGCTTTTCTATGTATGTGAATGTTCCTGTAAAGTGCCCTGAGACAACTTTGTTGTGATTTGCTGCTATATAAATAAATTGAATTGAATTGAATTAAATACTGGATGCTAATGAAGTAATCAGGAAACACCTGCAGACACTTAGATGAGAACCAGGTGAGATCGTCGCAGTAGAAAGCAGGTGGAAGAGAGCCTGGAAAGGTGGAGGGATACTCTGGAAAGAAGAGGAACAAACATCAGAAGATGCAAGTGACTAAGACTGGTATAACAATGAAACTACAAGAGAAGAGGTGTTGAAGAAGTGAGTTTATGTATTGTATTACCTGGGGTAAGCCATTCACAGCAATAATAAGTAAAAAGAGAGTGAAGGCTGGGTAGAGTGGATGGAGATAAGCATCAGAAAAGATTAATGAGCTGCAAGAGTGGAATGGAAGATTAAAAAAATGGAAGAGAGACTTTTTATGTATGGCTTGTGAGTAAGCAAAATGGAAGGATAAAAATGAGTGTATTAGAGGTACAGCTTATGTTTGTAGAAAAAGTTTTAAAGGCTGTTTGGACATGTTCAGAGGAGTGGTAGAGGATATACTGGATGGTTAGATGGAGACAGATGTGATTCACTTTGGTGACCTCTAAAGGGAGCAGATGAAGGAAAAAGAAGGAGAAGAAAGTGTTGTTTGGGTGTGACTTAAATGAGTGCATGTCACCAACATTCATTCCTAAATCAATTTATACTAAATTTCCACAAATGCTCAGTAGAAATAAAACAAACAAACTACACAAGCATGAACAATTGTGTATTACTTACACCTATATTGTTATTCAAAGAAACCACTGCTTTGAGCACAGATTTCACTACAAAACTTTGGGCTAGTTTCACATACAAGACAATGTGATCATCTATGTCTGTCTTGTATTCTTTCTTTAGATTCTTGTGTTTATGTTCCTGTGTGTCCAACCTTCCCCAGTGTTTTTTC